TCGTTTATCTTAAAATATAAATATATTTTTAAATATAACAAATATTCATAAGTATAATGAATTTTAAAAATAATTTGGCGCGCAATTTTGTGCCGTGCGCCATACGCCATGGCTCACATGTGACGCAAATAGCGCGCGCTATTTTAAACACATGCGCCTCGTCATGAACATGGCGCAGTAGGTGCGCCGCGCCGTACGCCATGACGCGCGCTATTTTGCGCATTGACAACTATGGCAATGGCCTGCATAGCTAGCTAAATCTAAAAATGCAAGAAAACACCCCTCTCACACATTAAAATACACATTGATATGTATTTCATATTATGCATACATTTGTAGGATGTAGAGGATTTCGTTCAAGCATGTCATTTGACATTGCAATTGCAATTTAAAATAAACTCCTGCATGCATTTGTAGGAGGCAGAGAGTTTCATTCAAAAATGTCATTCAATATTACATTTATATGCAAATATGTCGTACATGCGTAGCTGAGTGTCCTCCTGCATGTATTTGCAAGATGCATAGGATTTTATTCAAGTAATATCATGCAATATTTAATCTACATGCAAAAAAATATCGCATGCTGCAACTACATAGTGTGCAAATGCAAAATACATAGGCCAATATACATGATACATGCAGATGCATCGCATACATCTACTTCATATGTATAACAATCATATAAATGTATCATGCAAAATACATGTAACAGCAAATACCTATATGGGACCCGATGAGCATGTCGTAGGTTCACACATGACATATGAGGATGCTGCACGGGTAAAAAAATAAACTTAAGTTCAAGCCCGATCTTCCTATGCGAGCAGATAGGAGTTGACACGGCTCGAACTAATGAATAAATATACGGTTGCGACATTGACCAAGATATTTGTTTTATACACCCATATTATACCTTCAAGCTCTATTAGAAGAAAATTCACTAACAGAGGCATAAAGCCTACCACAGACCTGATCCTTTGTCGGCAGGTAGACAGAGTCAAAAAGGTTCAACCGAGAAGATAAAATTAGACATAAAAACTCCAATGATGATCATGTTGATAGAAAATCTCAACTGGAAGAGACCCCAAATATTTGAAAATGCCTCACAAATTCCAATAAAATATACTCAATGATGTCAATATCTAAATTTGAAATAAATCACCAAGATACTTAAAGAAAAAATATACATCCACCCTCCGCAATAATTTACCGATGTGGACAAATCTGAAAATCACTTCAGCTCACAAAGAGCAAATGTTTGGTCAGGAATATTACTGATATTCATTCTCAATCCATTTCAGGCCAATAGGGGCGTGACACGTGACCATAATCAGTGATTTTGTAGCCAAATGGCACCACAGGTAAACGATTATGACCGGGATCCTCTAACCAAGTAATTTTTTTACCAAATGACACCATTAAATTTTGATCATGATCAGAGCACGTATATTTACCAATGGCGTTGAATCAATAAGATATGACCGATAGAGCACAAAGCTCTCTGTTAGTTAAGGTGGATTCAAATTTGTCTCATTAGATAAATATTTACCCCAAGGCTGTCGATAAGGATCATTCTGTTACGTTGGGTCAAGGGCTCTGTAGGTTCCCTTGGATGAAGCAACCCATGACTATCGATAAGGATCATTCTGTTACGTTGGGTCAACTACCTCCTCTAACTTAGAAGACCAGGGATGAAGATGGTCCGGGATGATGAAACCATGGGATCTTGATTGGATCTATCATCACTCCCCACACCATACACTTTAAGTACAAGGTGGTAAATTTTTAATTTTAAATATTAAATTTTCAAATACTAAAATAAGCTGCTACTATACACAAGATACTATGTATCTGTTTGACGACTAGCCTTAATTGAAAGTTCTCTCTCGTTATCGGGAGTAGGGGCTTACGCCTATAGGAAACCTAAACTCAGATCATAAAGTCCTCACAAAATGAGGAAGAAATCTCTGGGTAGTGTCTTATTTAAAACTCAATCTGCCTTCTAAAAATTTGCCCTGAAACCTACTTATTAAAACTCTCCTCAACAACCAGAAAGAAAAAAAAGAAAGAAAGGGGGCCGCAGAGAGGCTGGTATGTGAATTTTCGGAGCCCACAAATTTCTACTATATTCTCCACATATTGCTTGTTGTGAAAGATTCAGCCTTCATTTTAAAATGACAGATATTGTAGATTAGATCCTGATCCTAATAAAAAGATTAGGATTCACGTCTTGCTGGGAAAGGGAGTTATGAGAGTTTGTCACACAAGATGAACTGTGAATTAGTGAAAATTTTATAAGGAGCTTGAGGGGTATATGTAGGCTTTATTGAGAAATCGAATCACTATAAAACTACATTTTTTGTGCAAATTGAAATTTTGTTATAGTTTTAGAACATAATTATTGCTATATGAAGAAATTAATTTTCATTAGGAAGGAAGGACTGCTTCAACTTACTTTAGTTATATAATAATTAAATTCCAACTTCTATAATATAAGTGTCTTATTCTAAAGTAAAAAACTTACTAGTGGACCGATTTTTGTTTATTCCAGAAGGGGCGGCGGCAAGGACAGAGAGATACGAGTGGGGTCCACTAAGAATTCAAATTCAAACTTCTTAGAGGGAAAGGAGGGGGCAGCAAGGGCTCTGTAGTAATTTTGGCTTGATTAATTAATTGTATGCTTTAAATAGGATGAGAGAATTAGGGTTAGGGTTATGTTTTGATTATTGGTTCTTGTGGGAATTTTCTTATTGGTGTCTTGGGCCTTAGCGTTGTCTAAGGATTGGGAGAGAATTTTCCTCCTCTCGAATAGAGGATCAGTTGTATCTTATTGTTCTTTGTTTCATTGATTTCTTCTATAAAACTATTGTTTTTGGTGTGCTTCCCTATGATGCATGGACACGGACACGGCGACACGGACACGGGACACGGCTTTTTTAGAAAATATAGAACACGGGTACAGCGCGGACACGGCAATACATTTTTTTATATAGTGTATATATATTAATGTAATATCATATTAAAAATGACAAACAATAATAAATGAATGACATGATAACTTGTCTAGCTTATAATATAAAATATTTAGTACAAAATATCTAGTACAATCACAAAAATATAAGCAAATAATTACTTACTACAACATCAAGCATTCAAGCTTCAACTACTAGGATTAACTTTAGAGATTTGTTTTTTGCCTTCAATATTATCATCATTGAATATCACTGCTTTCAACTCTGGTTCAACAAGAGAAAGATTTGTAATTGTACAAAAAGAGATGAGATGAAAATACCTTCACTGTCAAAGAGAAATGAAAATGAGAATATTCGATGAATGGGTATTAAATGCAGACATTGATTTGGTGTTGTGGATAGAAAATAATAAATTTAGTTTAAATCTCGCCAAATATAAGAAATTATATTTAAAAAAATAATAAAATATTTAAGATACGCGTGTCAGACACACGTGTCCAATTTGATTTTAATATTTTTTTAATCGGACACGTTTTCGACGTGTCCGACATGTGTCGGAGGAGTGTGAGACGAGTGTCGTGTCGGACACGGTGTCGGACACTGCACGCCTCTTTGAGGAGAAGTGTCGGTGCATCATAGGTTCTTCCCCATCAGATTTTATGAGTTTATTCGCTGATTTTTTCTCTATTGATAGGAATACTTGAGATTTACGAGTAACTCCAATCAAATCAGTATCATAGCAGTCTTGGGACCATTGTGGGCTATTTTATTTTAAATTTCAGCAGTGAAATTTTATCCGGAAGAAAAAATTTTTACTTATTTTGGGGAGCAATATTCAAAAATTTTGTTTTATGACGTCCAAGAAGGTAGATGTGTTGGATGAACGCTTGGAATGGAAGATGAATCAGATGAAGATAACGGTGGAGGACATAATTCCTCCATGGAAGGGCCGTTAGCTGATTTACAGGATATGATGAAGAAGATGTTGGAAATCCACAACCAAATGACGGCTTCATGGGCAAAAGGGCCGGAAGAAAAGAATACGAATTCTAAAATTCGTAAGGACGAAGACAAGGTGGAGATCATAGAGGGAGAAAGTAGAAGATCCCATCTGAAGCCTTTCCAGAAGGAGGATAGAGTAGGTAGGTTTGGGGAAAGGCATGGGTATGGAGGGCAGGAGCCAAGGGGTGCTGATTGGGAATGTAGGGAAGGAAATTATGGCTGCCGAGTTGCTGATTTTGAAAGAAGGAGAAGGGAATTCGAATGAGGTTATGGGCATGAAAGGGGAAGGGAAGATCGGGAGACTTGGGGAGGGCCAATCACTTAGGAAAGGGGAACTATGGATAAATAAGGGGAAACATGGGAGATTAAAAGGTGAGAGAGCTGAAGATGCCCATTTTTTAGGGGGAAGATGCAAATGGGTGGATCTATAAGGTAGAAATGTACTTTGTCATCAATAGGCTGACGGAGGACGAGAAGTTGATAGCATCCAGCTTATGTTTGGAGAGGAAGCCGCTGTCATGGTACCAGTGGAGAGACCATAAGAGACCCCTACGGAGCTGTGAACAAATACCTGTGAGAATTTTGGCTTAATTAATTAATTGTATACTTGATTATATTTTGATTATTGGTTCTTGTGAGAATTTTCATCTTGGTGTCTTGGGCCTTAGCTTTGTCTAAGGATTGGGAGAGAATGATCCTCCTCTCGAATAGAAGATCAGTTGTATCTTGTTTCTCTTTGTTCCGTTGATTTCTTCTATAAAACTACTATCTTTGGTGTGATTCCCCATCATATTTTGTGAGTTTATTCGCTGATTTCGTCTCTATTGATAGGAATACTTGAGATCTACAAGTATCTCCTATCATTTACATAGTCGATCAGTACTTCTACCAAATATGAATATAGAAATATATAGGTATTATGAATTTTGGTTCGCAAAGCACTTTTAAAGATATTATCATGATGAAGTAAAAGAAAGTCTACAAAGTTTGCTCAATAAATAACGAGTTATTAAATTGGACAAATACCTTATTTGCCCACACAAGTCCACATGCATTGCACAAGGTTCTTGGTCCATTGGGTCCACGCCGCATCATTGGTGTAGACTTGGCACTAATGCCACAATGATGGCATCTAAATAACAAAAAACTAAGAGTTAACAACCATATAAATCAGGCTAAAATAGTAAAAAACAAGCTAAAAAAATGGAAAAGTAAAAGGAAAAAAAATACCGCATGCAGCCAAAAAGACGGATCATGAAACAAAAGTGAGAATGTTTCAATAAATATAAATATTATAAACTCTTAAAAAACCTAAATTTAAACTCAAGCCACATCAACTTTTAATTACGTGATCCAATAAAAACAATTTCTAAAGAAAAATATATGAAACTCCCTATTTTCATTGATCCACCTTAAAAAGTGGACAACTCAAAGATTTTTTGTATGGGTTTTTGGGGATTGTAGCAATAATCCTAAATAAATGATACATAGCTAAAAAAAACCCGATGAAAAATGCATATTGTGTCCCTACAAAATTCACAGGGCTTTATTAGTGTATATGCAAATGCAAAGATAAATGCTAATACTAAAGAGCCTCAACCACTCATATTAGAAATCAAAGAGCAAACCTCCCAAAAAGTTGAAATTTGCCAAAAGCTAACATATAAATTGATATAATAACGAAACAGAAGATTATCAATAGACAAACAAATTGATATGCTTATAAAGAATTTTTCTTTCATGAACTTTATTTTGCTAATACAAAGACTACAGAAAAGAATTACTCTACTGCTGATGGAGGCTGTTTTTCTACTATGTCCCAGTGCTGGTTAGGCCAATTGATAACATCAGATGTTACAACTTCGGTCTTTGACTTCGATGATACGAACTGCCCCCTACTACGCTGCATCCTGTGATAAGATAGATAATATATAATCTAAGAATGCGAAATACAATAACTCTTAAACTGCAAGAAAATGAAACGCTAATAATAAAAAATTTCATCACTAAAGTTTAATCAAAACAACATAACCATATTGATCAAGTTTAGTATCACCGCCACATTCACAGGTGTGATTGAATAAAAACATCGTGACTAGCACGCAACTACTAGAAAATAAAGATTCACATACCACCTTTATCTCTAAGAGCTGACAAATGAAATCCAAATATACAATACTAAGGATGATAAATTCAAATATAAAAACAACTCCTCTCTTCCTGATTAAAGACTTAAAGGCTGAAATTCTATAACCTTTGACCAGGTTTCAGTAGTAGGATATTCTATAAGAATTATAAAAGGTGGTGCTAAAAATTACATATCAAAAAAAAATTTCTACGAGATAATTTATTCACCGTTGCCTAAAAACAAGACCTACTAATGAAATAACTACCAGGCAAATGTTTAAACCACTCTACAAGGGAAGATATCACATTGTAAACTATTTCTTCTTTCATGCAACAATCCAAGATTTCCACCATCACAACCATTTTTCATGATCTCTTTATTGAACTAGTCAAAAGAACCTCTTTACACCCAAGGGAGTTCAACTGACAAGAATTTCATAAGTTTCGTGATGGTGAACTTCGAAGGAGTCTTAAAATAACAGAAAGACAATCAGTGGCTTTTCCGCATATATACGTAAACAAGCAGTTACTGAACAGTACAGAAGTAAATTTTAATTTATTAAATTTTTTAAGGAAATTCAAACACTTAATACCACCAGTGCAAATTAAAGTACAAGTTACAAAAAAAAAACAATAATATGTACTAGAAGGGCTAGTTTGTTTCATTTTAAGTGTCCAAAAGTAATTGGATCACAATTTAAAAAAAATAAGCTCAAGTGTTTGTTTGGATGAAAAGGAAGAAAGTTAAGTTCTCATTTTTTAAACAAAGTTCACAGGAAGTGAGTTCATACAAAACAAACTAATATTACTACAATTCACTTCAATGCAACGTATTTTAAAGCCACCTATAAGATTAATATTTCAGTGGATGGTATGCAAGAGGATATTCCAGAATTGGCTTACATAAGAAGGAAATATTCAGGAGTTCCAATACTCTTTAACATCCAATCTCTTATTTTCTCTTTAAACATAACTAGCATCAATCTTAAACGCACCAAAATTGATCTTTCTGGTTCTTTCCTCACCATGCACTGATCATTGTTTATAGCCTTTTCGGATGTTAATTCTAGCTTAGTTAAATTCTTGAATAGTCTACAACATAAGGTTTATCCCACCAGATTATCTTAAGCTGTTTTACACTCATTTGGTTCCCAAACTAACTGCATACCATCATGCAATTAACCATCCCAGCTGTGTGAGTGGGCATCAAAATCCACCATGTTTTAAAAAAAATCTGGTTTTGATGGGCTTGATTCAAACTTTCCAAATTGGACAGCACAACATGCTAGGATAATTACATGGTCCAATAAGCATGGTAATCAATGGTAATTGGAGGCTAAATCCTATTCTATTATAGTACTATTCTCAAACTAATCTCACCGCAACCTCAATTTACTGCTTTACTTCGCTTACAGTCACTAAATTTTTGTTATTAGAAATCTCCAACCGCTGAAGCTTCTTTTTATCCTCTCTTTATTAAAAAGCCACAAACTAAAGTTTGCAAGAGGTGCAAGCATTAATATATGACGTAAGATCAGTGATTCAGTTATTGATCAAAGAAAAAAATCCTCTTCTACTATTTTACACTTTTCAAAGGAGATGTCATGAATAATTCCTTAAAGTAACATCATATAGGTATTATTTATATACTCACATATAATCTTATAAGTGTTTAGTAGGTAGTCGGCAAATCATGACAGACGAATTTTCCCTCAAAAGGGGCTCATAGGTGGAACTTGCCTAGATCCTGCAGGTGAACTCGCCTGCAATGACCAATAGGCATCACTCACCCAGTCCTCCATAGAGTTCACCCTACAAAGGGCAGATTGAGGATTCCGCTCTAGAACTTGTAGTTCAACACTCACTACCTTCCTGGACCAATTTCAGCCAACCGCTCTCTTCCAAGGCGATGGTTCTCAAACTCAGCTACATCAAGGCATTTATCTACAAACCCTCATTTCATCTCACCTCAACCGTCCAAGCCAAAGCTATCTCTTCCCATGACAATATCTCACTCAATCTACTCTTCTTAGGGTAATCGCAGAGCTTCCACACTAGTCGCCAGACACGTCAACGAACTTGCTAGTCATTAGCCCCTATTTTTCTTAGTATTTTCCAACATACTCGCCCTCATATACTCGGCATCACAGAGCTCATCTAGAGACAACTCGCCAAAGCCTTTCGACCTTGCTCTCCTTTATTCGGTCAGGAGGTGAAGCATTTCTAGGATAGTGTGTAGCATTGTATTGGTGTTCTGTGTAGTGTTGTACCTTTGATTGTTATTTCATATATTTCCAAACAAAGCATGCAATTTGTTTGAGTCAAATGATTAAATAAAATTATTATAATGTCCTTTTCCGAATAACAATTCTTAACAAAGCATGCAATTTATTCTAAATGAAATATTAATATTTAAAAAAACGTACGTGAAGTATAGCCTCAATTCCTATCGACATTCAAGTTTTCTTTTTGTTCATTTAAGCTAAACACAAATTACTAAGTCAAATACTACAAACATATTTCCCTTTGTTATAAATTTTTGCATTTAAGATTGAATTATGGGCATTACTAATTATTGGCTTGAATTTAAATCTGTTTTCAACTTTTTCTTGTTATAAGAAACTTTGGCTATGATCTTTCTCAATTGAATTATAAGATTCAATGAATGGTACCTGATGTTTTTAAATAAACGTGAATGTTGAATAGCTAAAATCATTCAACTGTAAACCCACGAGTTGTTTTAATAATATATAAAGTATTCTAACAATAAAACCCACAAGTTTCTTTTAAACGTAGTAGTAATATATTATAGGTATGAATATTTAAGTTACAAAAAAATTCTTGTGATTTTCTATGCCATATTTATTCAAAAATTGGTGCCTTAGTTTAAAAGTTGAGCATCCCACTTCTCAGCTTTCATCTACAATGATTTAGGCCTTAAAGCTTTAATAACACCATTCTAAAGCATACTTTTGAAGTTACCATGGCATTAGCATTAGGCCCTATTCAACTATGGAGAACTTAACCATTTACCAGGCCACAATCCTACATAGTTGAATCAGCAGGGAAGCAATCGTAAGTCTTCTTAGTACTCCAAGACAATTTGTAAGGCTTCTTAGTACTCCAATATGTAAAGAGAACAAAGTGGTGTTCAATTCTAACTTTACATACTACATTGGCTATCAAATTTTCTAAATGACAAAAAATTGAAAAAATGGTTCTTGTCAACAAGGCCGAATATGCAGCTTGGAATGTTCTTAAATCAATACGAACAAATTAAGCGCATAAATACTAACAAGAAATATTTGTCTTGGAACCAATGATGTTAAATGTAAGTCAGGTGCTCTCCTAAGCACCTAGAAAATGTGACATAAGGTTGCACATCTCCCAAGTAGGCAACATCACTAAGTGTTGTCGTAACGAGCAACTTGCCTTAAGAAGTAATGTTGCCTAGAAGAGCATCTTGCCTTGATTTGAGAGGTGCGCATTACTACTTCAAATTTTGAAGATGAGCAAGTCTTTGACAATGACATTGGACATGTGGAAATGACAATGACATAAGGCTACCGTATCTTGCACATCTCCCAAGTAGGCCCCATCACTAAGTGCTGTCTTAACGAGCATCATGCCTTAATAAGTAATGTTTCCTAGAAGAATATCTTGCCTTGATTTGATAGGTGAATGTTACTACTTCAAATGTTGAAGATGAGCAAGTCTTTGACAATGACATTGGACATGAGAAAACGATAATATATCATCAGAAGTTGGAGAAACAAGGATATGCACTACAAAATACATTAGATCAATCAAGCGTGCAAGGGAATAGAGTTCCAAACTCTAGTGTTGTAAAACTTAAAAATAAAAAGGATGAGTCATGAGTCAAAGGAAGAAAAGAAATAGGAGATTGGACAATTGCAAACTCAAAGATGAAGATAATAATGGGATAGACTAGAAAATATTATATCATCCCACAGTACAAAATGCTACAATCTTAAATAGCTTCATTGGTCAAAGATAACCTATTCAACTAAATTTTTAAAGTTGGAATGCAATGAAAATTTAATTTATTGTTTTTAAAAACATATTGTAACATAATAATTATAATTTTAGCTTTCAAAGTATTTAGAACAACTAAAATAATATCATTAAGGGATATAGGTTTTTCCTTTTTAACACCTCACTTACCTTGAATGAGCTCTAAGGTGGTGTCTAGCAAATCCGGTGTTGTGCAATCATATTGTCTTATGAAGAGAAGATGAAAATAAGGGATAAAGTCTACCAATCAAAGAAAAATAATAATAACGCATGGATATTCTAGCATATTTTGACATATATTTTTTTACCCAAAAGTCTTATAAAAACCTAGATGGTTACCAGTCTAAGCATAGAAGGCATGTGAAATATAAATGATTGTTAAATTTTGCCAGCAATCTCAATAATGTTATGTGAACCAGAGAGATAAATGAGCTAAATTTGATCATATTATTCCTCGTTTGCTCTCGACCAAAGCTTGAATAGAATAAGAAAGGTCCCAAAATACTTGACAATACATCTATAAGAAAGAAGATGCACATGATGAAATATATGCCGATTAAATTGAGGAGTATCAATACTTGTTCCTGTAGAGATCGTATTCATGCTATGTTTTTAAAACCATTTCACTACAGCAAGCCAACAATTTAATTTCCATTTTTTTTCCATGGCATTGCATGTGATGATCGTCTGACCCTATCATATCTATAATAGTATAATACCAATCAAACCACGCAAATTATTAGATGCATGTAAATGTACATACAAATAACCACAGTCACAGTTCATACAATGCCAATTTTTAAATTAAAAAAAAAAAAAAAAAAAAGCTAGTCAAATGCTATGGACACTGCTTATAAAGATTGCCATTTTATAATAATTTGAAACCTTCAATTTAAGTTTTCAAAGACTATTCAAAAACCATCTAATTAGGAAAGGTAGGAAAGATAAAGAATGAACATGCAGCACTTGAAATCAATAACACTAAAAAGAGATGAGGCCTAAAGTTACCTAAGAGCAACCTCCTTCCGAACCGTATAGCGTATCTTCTTATCAAAATTCCGCTCTTTCCTCTTCTCACGGAATCTCATCAAGGAAGCAACTCTATGGGGTAGATTTGACCGTTGCTAAAAATCCAAAGAGTCTCATAAGTTAAACCCTCCTCAGCTAAATCAAATACACTTTGCTTTAGCTGTACTTCAACACCCTTAACCTATCTATGAGAAGAAAAGGTAAGTAAACCAAATGCTTAAGGTTGACTTAACAATACCTTAGTGCTTAGATCCGCAGTTGAAGGGAATGCAGCCAAGCTATTAGAGATTTCCCGTCCTCCCAATAATAGAAGCACTGCCTGAACCTATATGATGTGTAAATGCCACCAAAGTTACAGTTTCATTATTTTGTGCTACCAAAAATGTGGCATTTATCTTGAAGATAGTTATGGAGAGGGGAGAAAGGAGAGTTGGGGAAACACACACACACACACACAGAGAGAGAGAGAGAGAGAGAGAGAGAGAGAGAGGAGGGAGACCTTCTCTGGGGAGACAGAATCAAACACATAAACCTCGCCCTGGAAAGAAAGCGTAAGCTGGTTGCTTCCGCCATGCGGAACTATCATGCCCTGCGGATCGCAGGGATGACCCGGATCAGACGGTCCATCTCCCTCCATCCCCTCGCTCTCCATCATGCCGTTCTGATCCTCATCCATTCCGTTTTCCACCCCGCCGCAATTGTTCTCGTCGTGCTCTCGCGTGTAGTGCAGGATCCCCTGTCCATCAGAGCTCACGCCTACATCTCCACCGTCGATCTGCCCCGGCATCGTCATCGAAGCCAGCACCTGGCGTGCGGCGATCGAATCCTGGCCTCGGCAACCCGGCGGATACTTTCCAGCAGCCACAAGCTTCACTTCCACTGCCGGATTAGAATTTTGGTTCATCACCCTTCGAAGTACGAATTCTCGCCGACGGATTCACGAGTCCGTAATCAATTTAAACTGCCGGAAGAGAAATACGACTTCAATCAGTTCCAGATAATAGAGTTTAGGGAAAGCTCGCCGGTGAATAGTGAGATATCTGGAGTACCCGGTGTGCTCGGTTGGGAATTTCATTCCTAGTTTTATTTTTTTTGAGCTGCAGTAGTACTTTTAGTAGGTCCCCAAAGTGCAGGTTGTAGGTGCGGTGATGTGGGTGATCTGATAGGTCGGTCGGAATTTACGGAAGGCCCAGCGTGTTCGGCGAAGCCAGTCATGACAGCGTACGGTTCCTTGTTATCAAATATATGGAGTGTGCTTACCTAACTAAAATCCGTGCGCATTGAAGCAATAGTTAAACGAAACTGTTTTTATATAATGTGAGTAATATTTGTGGGGTTGGGTCCAATCTGAAATTTATTATGTAATATTTGTTCTGATTTGAATCTGACTCACTTTTAAGTATGAGTAAGATGCAACATAGATAATACCCAAAATTTATTTAGAAGTAATTTTTTATATATAATAATACATAGCCGATATTATTATAAAAATATGTCAAATAAAATCATAAATAAATTTTCAGTTTATATCATATGACAATACAATCAAAAAGATACATTTACAATAATCATGGTACATATATTTCTATCATTATATAATATTCTCATACCTGAAAAAATATACAAAAACGACTAAAAAAAGACATTTAGAAATAAGAATTTGTCATATTTGTATCTACTCAACCTACTTCTTTCTTTTTCCTTGTGGTAAAATTAATTCATGTAGATAAGGTAAGAATGAGGATCAACATCTAAGTATGTTACATGAAACTTTGATATATAATCAAAAAACTATCTTGATCGGGTCAGAATCTCAAGGCAAAATCAAGTTGGAAACTTCAAAATTTTAATTTGAGATCATATGAATTTTGATTTCAGCAAATTTATAGTTGAACTAAACGTCTAAAAAATACAAACCAACGACACCAAATTCGACCCAATCCGAGCTCAAATGGGTCCAAATCAAAAACCTAAAACACATTTGGAAAGTTTAATACATAATTTGGATTACCAAATAGTTTTTAAATGTGACATGCTTATAGTCAAATAGAGCAGCTCGATGAGACGAATCCAACGAGCCCAAAATTGTCAAATTCTATTATCGTTAAAACATTCAAATGTCCGGTAAATAGTTCATGATCAAGGAAATCAACATCGGTCATCCATTCAAACCACTCCCAATTTATCCTTGATCTTTCTCCAATTTACTAGTCATTACACTCTCAGAAATTTATAAATACACCTCATATTTCTCATGAGGGGGACCCAAGCAAGAAGGGAAGGAAGAGAACTTTCTTACCACCAGACTCCTCCTCGACCACCGTTGGACTTCCACCTGGCAGTCAACCGATGCCGGATTTCTTCCTAACCGTCGACTGACATCGAACTTCTTCATGAACTCCAACTGACGTCAGATTTTTGCCTGACTGTTGATTGATGTTAGACTTCTACCATACCGTCAATTAAAGCTGGATTTCCGTCCAACCACTAAACGTTGCTAAATTTTTGATATCTTCTCATAACTGGATTTCAACTCGATGGTTGATTATTGTAATATGATCATCCTCAATTTCAGGGATGAGTTAGTCACTTGTAATCCATTCAAACACTAGTGGAATCATTTCAACTAGGCATGCCCTCATGGTTTTTTCCTTTCTCAGGGTTTTCCATTTAAAAATTATGGTGTTCCTTTTTTTTCTTCTATTTTTTATGGTTATATGTACACCGTTTAGACAAAAATTTCTAACTCTCTTTTCAAGTATATTCTTGCCGACACTAGTTTAGCATAGTTTGTGTGAAACACAATCCCCCTATTGTCTAGTTCAATGACCAACAAGTATAGCAATTGCATCTTGGGAGCCTCTCGCACAACACCCATCAATCCAAGAATCAATGTATAAAATATGGATGCCAACTATTTGCCTCTTTTTATCCTAGGGGATAAAACGCTGCTAGAGAAGGAACTTTAGGGCCTTCCCTGGAGGAGCGTATTTGAAAGCTGGAAGAATTTCAAAAATGAGATCCTTTAACTTCTGTGAGAGACTCGGTAACTGATGCTAGATCAATAAGAGGAATTCTTATCCCTTGAGATCCACCACTGGCCGAAGGTGTTCAACTCTAATATCTTCATGCAGAGATTCCTCTTCCTCCGCCAAGGAGACATTCACAATCACATCAAGATAACAAACTTATTGACATAACAAGTTCTATCCATCCTTTGCATACAGGTCAACAATCTCACATTCCTCCAGACATCCACGTAGACTTAGCCCAACCACATGTTGCTGACCTCTCTCATAATGCCCTACATCATGAACTATGAATATTGATCTAAGAAGAGTTCCCCGTGGGAGGTATAAGATAATCTCTTCATCAGTGGGACTTCCATGAGTCATCACCCACTAATGAAGCCTTCCTCCATACACTCTAACACAAAGGAATTACCTCCACATCATATATATAATCATAAGTTTTTTGAATTTGATCCTAGATAATCATCTTGAAGGCAACAGGCTTCTTGATTTTTTATATAACTCTGGAAGGTGATTGTTCTGAGTTAGACTCAACTTCCTTCTTAGACTATAAACTCGGAAGCATGTTATTCTCATGTTCGATGGTATTATCTGAAATTACTAGATGGACAAGAGGGGGGGGGGGGGTGAATTGTGAAAACTTTCTAGCAAGAATTTAAACCTAAGCAGGAGTTCTAATATTTTTAATATTTTTAAGTTTTAACATGAAAATAAAGTGCAACAATGGAATACTGTTCAATCACAATATTACCAAGCAAATAATATGAGAATCAAATGCAAGAAAAAGTAAACCGCGATAAGGAAAAAACACACCGTAATTTTATAGTGGTTCGGTCAAACCATGACCTACGTCCACTCCCCGAAGTCCTCTGCTCCAGAATTAGCTCTCCTTTTGCCCCCCTTGGCAAGGCGGAGAAGCCCTTACAATACTCCCTTTCACCAACCCGATGTGGCGGAGTGCCAAGCGCTGTTTTCACCCTCCTAGCGACGGCAGAGAAACTTCTTATTTTTCTTCATCCTGGAGAAGGCAGAGTACCTTCGAGGTGATGGATGTAGATGAGTCTCCCCCTCAGAGAGCCTCCCACAAGTTCTTCCCGGGCCAAAAGAGGAGCAAGATGCAGCAAGATCGGAGCAACCGTGTGATCTCCCTCACACCTCTTCTCCCTCACCAAGCTCACCTTCTCCTTCCTCTCTCAACTCCCACAAAACTTCTCAAGAGCTCTCCCAAGGATTTCCTATATAATCATGTTCTCCTCTCTAATTCACACACTAAAAACATAACTATTTTGACACCTAAAAACGGTCTCCAAAATCCCTGGAATTTCAAAGTAGCCGTTACTATCTTATAGTACGATTTCTAATCATGCAGTACGATATGTATACCAAGCTTCATCCTGGTACAAATCTGTACGAACAGTTGAAAATCAATCGTACAATACGATAATGAATCGTACGGTACGATCTTCAACATTACTGATCGTACAGGCCGATATCCAGGATGATTAAATGTCGTCTATATTTATCGTATTGTACGATACATATTATACAGTATGAATGGTCAAAATCAAGGCATCATCCAGGACGAATTCTGAGACGATCAAGAGTCATCTCTATTCATCATATAGTACAATCTACCTCGTACTGTACAACAAGGCAAAAACAAGGGATCGTCCAGGATGATCAGAATTCATCTATGTTCATCATATTGTACAAACTGGTTCGTACAGTATGATATTCAATTTGAAATTAAGCCTTGAATTATTCCACTAATCATGAGTTAATTTAAGTAAGTATTTAAAATAAATCGTACAGTACGAATGGCTGAGAAAAACTTACTTAAGTTAATTTGATGGGTAGGGTTTTGGATTTGAACATAACGTACAGTACGATTTTCATTCATACAGTATGATCTATTCACAGAATCGTTCTACAAGCTCAGATCGTACGGAACGAAATAACTTCGTACAGTACGATCTACAGACAAAGAAAATCTCCAAATTTTTCTTTAAAAAAACCCTCTCCCCCTGTGTGTGTGTATGGTTTCTCAGACTTTTATGCATTTTGTGGCCAGACTCAAAAAAATAAAAATAAAATAAATAACAAAATACATTGTCAGACTCATAATCTACCCATTCTTGAGTCTTCCTATCATTCTGAGTAGCTTATGATCTTCCTGAAATGTTAGTACTCACGTACAATAGCAAACAAAATAATATTCAATAAATAGATAATTCATACGATATTATTTGTCATCATCAAAATCTCAAACTCGGGGTCTTGGGTTGCAACAATCTCCCATTTTTGATGATGTCAAATAATGTTTATTGTAGGCAAGTTTTAATTTTTTTATTAATTTATATTAATAATTTTTTTAAGGAAAAATGCAAGAAAAAGGAAAATGCAGTACGAGATAAAAAGAAATGCATTTAACCATAGAACAAACTACAACATCCTTCTCCCCCTTTTGACAGCACCAAAAAGAGGAGCAAACACTAAGAAAGAAGAAAGAAAAAAAACTATAATACAAAGATAATTTAAAATGGAGGATCCTGGTCAGTTGGTGGTGGAGGTGGAGGTCGATGTGGCTGAAAGTAGTGAAGGATTGTGTCAAATTATTGATCAATGGAATTGAAGCGTTCCCCAAACTATTGCATGTAGGTCTCGCATTGCTGATGTTGCTATTGAATGTGTGTACCGAGATGAGTCTAAAGTTGGTCGAAATGCTCTACCAAATCATCGTAAGGGTGTGCTGGTGCAGGTGATCGGGGTGGTGCATGTCGTCATGGTCGTGCTTGAGCTGCAGCCGGGGAATCTTCTCCTTCTTCTTCATTAAAGATAGGTTCTTCAGGCTCGTGTCCCTGATGGAAAAGAATCTAGAAAGAGGCATCCGTATAAAAGATAGGGAGATTGTCGGGTTCACCAGGATAGGTCAATTGATATTTATTTTGGAGGATATATTCTATAAGGTGACCAAGAGCTAGATTTTGTTTCCGTCGAGTAGTAGGGAGGTGAATGAAAGTCATATGGTGAATGTAGTCAATAATTAAATCAGTTTCATT